AAAGAGAAAACTCCTGGTTTCTTGAAAGAGTTGTTTTTACCATTAAAATATCCTGAAAAAGCAAAGAAAACCATTTTGAATAAATCATTTCCCTTTGACTGAGTGTACTAACTCTGCTGATATTTAATATATGTTAGGAAGTTGAATTTTCTGAGCAGCTGGGTTTTATGCCAGCTGAGAGATGAGTAGGTGGAGAATTGGAGTGGTGGAAGCTTGTGTCAGCTATGGAGTATTCATGTATTCTGGGCAGCAGGTGGAAGTAGAAATCTGAGGAGGGAGGCACACAATGGGCAGAAGACCAGTTAGGAAAACTTGCTGGTAATCTGTTGAGGCTGCGGGCTGAGGTAGGAAATGGTGTGGACAGATGTGGGAGCCCGGCAGGCTGGGACCACGGAAGTATGCAAGGTGGGTGCTGAGGCGGGAAGCAGGGTCAGGATGGATTTTGAGGATAGTAGGTGCGCGTTATGAGACCGAGAAGAGCAAATGAGCCTGTGTGCAAATACGCTTTCACTAATTTGTGCTGGGTTCAACAAGAATGGCACAGTGGGCAGATGAACACCTTACCTGGACCTTGATAAAATACAGTGTATCTAAATCCAGACATTCTCCTTAGTAAGATTCTCTTTCATCTCCTTAACACCTTCCTTCCTCCACCAGTATCTTTCTTATCTACTAATAGTTTCTTCTACTTATCATTTTTTTAAAAAAGATTCAACATATTTAGGAAAACATGTAATAATTGTCCTGAATCTGGCTTTCTTCACATAACATGATCTCCAGTTCCATCCCTTTTCCTGAAAATGACATAATCATTTGTTACAACTGAAACCTGAGTTTTTTTTTTTAAAGATCAAGACCCCAGTCTTTTTTAGTAATGCTTTCCTTAATAGTGTTGAAAGGGGAAAGATGAGTTATGTTATTGTAGAAAATGTAGTACTTTTTCCCTTTTTGGATATAAAGAAACATAAAATGCGAGTTACAAGTGAATTTGTAATTCTGTAATTTTCAGGGATGAGCTGAGCATTTAGCTTCCTTTTACCCAATGGACCGCCATTGCTGTGATACACAGTGTGATTACTTAGCGTTGGTATGAAGTACAGCATTCAGTCTTTTTTGCTCTGCAGTTCCCAAAATAATCATTAACTACTTTCAGCCTCAGTTTCCTTGTCCATACAATTGTAACTGGCTCCTGAGAAGTCTGAATGGGGTAATCTGCATTAAGCCCTTAGGACAATGCCTGGCATCAAGTGGGAGGTCAAGTTACTTTCTTCAGCACAGTGAAGTCCTCTGAGGTCTCCCACAGACTTAATAAACTACTGCTGCATGATTAGCTGCGCAGGATGCAGCAAGTTAAGCCAGAGTTTAAGGAAATCTCCTTTACCTAAGCTAAAGTTAAGCACTTAATACCAAAAAGGCCCAAATGTCTACGATGTATTTCTTCTTTTATATTCTAAGACATGAGTCTCAGAACTTTGCTTGTTGATGTGAAGTGAGGGGAAAGGGGGAGACAACAATGAGAACAGAGAACTTTTGTCCAGGCCTCAACTGATTTGGGATATTCTTGCCCTTTCCTTGATACTGTAGAGTAGGGAGAAAGATGGTGGCTCTTTTTCCTGGGAGTGTATCCAGCCATATTCCCTGAATTTCTGGGAAGAAGAGGGTCCAGGGCTTTCTGTCATCAGATTAGTATCTTCCACTTTTATTTTCAATGTGACCAGTTCAAGGCATTTTTTCTTTGCCCCTCTAACCTGCCAGGAGTGGAAAAATCTGTGAAAAGCCCCAGACTTCCTTTATGACCAGTACCTACCTGTTCGATCTAGGCAGTTTAGGAACTAGTTGTGTGATTGATTTTGTTTTCCAAGTTGTATTAGCTCACAGTGATTACAGAAGGATACGGAAAGTAATACATTTTCTGAAAGCAGTTATATTCTTATTAGAAAAATAACTCTTCCGGGAATAAGATTGTTGATGCTTTTCTTCATTGCTGTGTAACGTCTATCACTTGCTGTTCCAGGCATATATTAAGAGTTCAGTTAATATGTACTGAGCAAATAGTATTGTTTGGTCTAGTTCAGCTTCCTTATTTTATAAGGAGGTTATAGTTTTATTAGCTATAAAAACTCATAATAAAAACATAGAAATTTAATAAGAGATAGTCACAGCTAAGAAGCCTCGTAAATGAGTTGAAAATATGGAAAAACTTCCTAGAAACTGAAACTTACAGGATAACAAAAATCAACCCAAGAAAACAAGATCATCAGAACAGATTGTATACTGACCTATAAGTTATCTGTGTTTATTAATATTCTGTAATTTCTAATTAAAACAATTGTTTAAAAAGGCTCATTTTAAAACATTTAGCAAAGATCAACAAATATATACATATATGAAATATCACAGAATACAATGAATGTTTAAATTTTTAAAATTATTATATAAAGGACACATTACCACTAATGCCCCTCAAAATACTCCCCCTGGCATTGAACACACACTATCAGTTTTGCATTTTCTGAAGCAGTTCCGGAAGTCTTTTTTCATGAGTTGCACTATTGTGGCAGCTCGGGTATCCTAACCTATTCACAATACTTACTTTGCATGGTTATTTTGACTTGGAGAAGAACCAAAAGTCACATGGTGCCAAATCTCTGCTGAATAGGTGGACGAGGTTGTGCTAATTTTTTATGTACCTGCCTTTGCATTGGTTGGCACTCAGGAGCAGCCTTCACTGTGTTTTTAATCAGGCTTTGTGAAGATTTTCACAAGAGGACTACCAGATCTGCTTCAAAAAGTGTCAAGAATGACGTGTGAGGTGAGGGGGAGTGTTTTGAGGGGGATTAATGGCAATGTGTCTTTCTCCATAATTTTTAGAAAAATTTATGCATATACCATTTTTATTAGCTCTTTTATATTGTATGTGGCTTTTTTCTTGTGGCACTCCCAAGAGATATGTAAAGTAGGAGTAAAGTCTATAAACCCTACTCTTCGCAAAAGCTGAAACTTCCATGTGTCTATCCTTTTATTGCTCTTTCTGAAAAAGTATGAAGTGGTACAGTGGAAGGAACATGATGCTTTGGAATCTTTTAAGCCAGTGGCCTTGATAGCTTTGGAAATTATACAGTAATTTCTCCACCTAATTTCTTTCCTCAAAAAGACCTTCCCTGCAGGCATCATGAGACAAAAGAATACGTGAACAATAAGAATGTGTGGTTAGTGGTCAGCCTGGCACCCTAAATTTAAAAGTTACTTCCCCTTTCTTCCAATTTTCTAGCATCTCAAAGGAGCAAAAAGGCTTGACCTATAAAAACTCCCTTCCTGTGTCAGAGCCTGGACCAGATTTGTTTGTTTATGTTTTCAAATTGATATGTTTCATATAGATAAATGTGGGCAACTTGGTTCCCATGAATCACTGATCTGTGTGAATGGACCCTTGATAGCATCCCTGATCACATTATACTCTCTTGCATCTACTGTGGAACAGGATAGGATCTATGATTTTTTTATCAGTCTTCCAAACTGCCACATCCTCACACCAACATGTATGTACACATACATTGTCTTAGTTACTTTATGCTCGTTGGTGAGACAAAATACCTGAAGCCCAAAGTTGGGAAAGGAAAGGTTTATTTCTTACAGTTTTTGGAGGTTTCAGTCCACACTCAGTTGGCTCCAAGACAGGCGGGCATGGCTGGGCTGCAGTTCATGGCAGCCGGCAACAGCAAACTCGAACCAGCAAAGAGAAAAACACACCTTCTTCCTGCCATTACATCACATCCTGGCTCCACCCCTATATGGGTGGAGCACTGACACCATCAATCCAAGCACTATACAATGAACCATCACATATGAACAATGTAAACTCATGAGGCCTGGGGGACACAAACATAAACCATGACATACATGTTCCTAAAATGACCTAAAGATTTTAAGTACCTACTGGGACTATCAGTAACTGGTTTCCCTTGAGAATTAACTAGCTCTTTTATTTGTGAAGAATTAGGCTGGATATTAAGTTATAGGTATATAAATGAGGTAATGAACACACAGTCAACTTAGGTTTTCTTTTTTTTTTCCATATGAGGCTTGGATGTTTTTTCACTAGTATAGGATGCTAGTGGGTATGAATGCTTTCAGTAGCCCCACTTGTGGAAGAAACACTGACCAGTGTGCTCGGGGCAAGGCTGACACTGGTTGAACCTCTCATTATGTAAGGTGATGGTGCACACCTGTGCTTCATTTGGCGCAGGTACCCACAGTGGGTCACGTGCATTTGTATGAAGTCCTTTGGGATTGCAAGACTCATAGTCCAAAAAAGGTGACGTGCTCCATTTCTTTATGCACACAATGCTAATATGAAAGTAGTTTTATGGTTTAGTAGAGAGTAAAAATATTGAAGACGTTTTGATGAAAGTCTTCCTTTTGCCACCCCAGTTTGCCTTTATGTCTATGAAGAAATTTAGAGTTAGTGCACATCATTCATTTTCCCTTTTAATTTTATTTGGTTTTTAAAAGTTTTTGTTAGTATGTGTGATTACATGAGTGTATTCAGATATGGTGTCATATCTTAGTCTTCTTTTCCTTTCTCTTCCTGTCTTGCTCCATTCTCAGATCCCTTTCCCTTATCCACAAAATCTATCTACCTGTTTCCTGTCATCTTTCTTTTATTTTGCTATTTAAGTTATGTATAGTTGGGGTTTCTTATGTAAGATAAACATTATCTGATAGACTGGGAACATTTAGTATGGTGTCTTCACACTTGGTGGTATGGTTCAGTGACTCATAATTATAAAATCATAAATTTTAGAATTACATATAGGTAATTCAGATGAGCCTAAATTTTGCTATTTTGTAATATTTTTCATGCATAAAGAATTCAGGATTTAAGAATATTGAATTATATGCTCCAAAATTTTTAAAATTTCATTTAAATATAGTTCTGTGTTTTGAAATAGTGAATGGGGATTATACAGTATTTACTTTATTTTGTCTTTAATTTTCAGAAACAAATAGAAAAACAAGTGATCCAGGACAAAAAGAGAAAGGTGAGATTGTCAAATAGCCTTTAAAATATACATGGAAAAAATTCATACCATTCAAGTATATGTAATGATTTTATATCAGTAACTGAAAGAAATGTCTACTGGTTTTATTATTTCAATAATACTATCAATAAATATTTATTAATATTCTTCCTAAACATTATGTGCTGAGGTTTAAAGAGATTTCTTGTAATCTTAGTTTTGACATTAACTATGTGTGTGTGTCTTTAGGAAACTTGCTATACTTAGCTTTCTCACTTTCCTTTGCTATAATATAGAAATAATGAATACCAGCTTCATAAGACTATGTCTCTAAAATAGTAATTCAATGAGAATAACTGTAGAATTCTTAAGGCACTGTCTGGCACAAGGGCAATACTTAGAAAATATTAAATATAATTTATTGTTAATATGTTGTCAACTGTGCTACATACTAGACTTTAAAGATAAAGGTATCTTTTTTAAGGAAATGAATTGCTGGAAAGAAAGATACACAAAGTTAAAACCACATTAAAAAATTATCTCTGCCTTTTAAAATTTATTACAAAGCCAGCCTAGTAAATGTAATAACCCATAGTACCTTACTTCAACTTTTGCAGAGGTTCCTAAGCTTATTCAGAATGAGAAAGTATATTTATGTTAAAAAATTATGCAGATGGTCACAAGAGAGTGGTTACACTTTTGGTGAGCATCAAATGACAAAATTTTTCAATGATTAAAAATACTTATGTTTCAGTAATACCTTTCAGTTATAGTAATGAAAGCAGCACCTACACTTAAGAAGGTATAACATACATTGTATAAAAGACCTTACTTGGTTTGTGAATAAGTACTTGGTGAATATATGCAATTGTTGGCCTATTGACTATAACTTCATTGCTGAGAAATTTAGATTGAGGCATCTCACGCATGTATTTTTTTCCTAATGAACATTTGTCTTTAATTTTGTTAAAATAATATATAGTTTAACAGGTTGATGTTAGTAATGTGAAGCACCAGTCCTTACCCTTCTGCTTCCTGTCCTCAAGTCCCACTCACTCACTTAATTTTAGGTGTTTCTTTCTGTTAGTTCCCTATGCATTTCTAAACAATTGTCATTTCTGCAGTTTTTCTATTCAATATTGGAAACTGTTGATTGACTTTATTTTATAGATGACTGGGCTAATGTGATCATCACATTCACATTAGCTCTCTGCTGCCATTCCTCTTCCGTCTTCCAGTATATTTATAATCTAGAGTCTAGTAGAAAATGATAAATCCTAAGGAGACAAAACAAAGCTTGTGGCAATACTAATAGGAGCAACATATTGGAATGAGTGATTTCCTTTACTTCATACACTTCCTTTACTTGGCTAGCCAGATGCCAGGCTGTCTGGGTCTCTCTTCTGCTGTCTCCTGTGGTTTCTTTTTGGGCAATTTAAATAGATGCTCCTCATCTCTCTGACTTAAACACTGAAGGCCACAGGTCATGGTCCTTAACTATGTGTCCACATATATGTATTTCCCATGACTAAATTCTTCTGCACCCCAAAGTTTCCAAGGTCTACCCACAGCCCGGGTCTCTGTAGAACTCCAGACTGGTGTGTCCAGCTGTCTACCTTCTGTTTCCTAATGATCTCAGGAGAGCGATAATCACTTCAAACTTCAGTATAAAACTTATCCCCCTCAAAGCTCACTACTCCTGTAGAGCTTTTCTTTTACACTTCCTGTTGCTCCATTAGAAGTCCCACCTGCTTTCTCTTCAGGAAACAATGAGATTCTAGCCTCTCCCTGTCATCTTCGGCTGTTCCTGCTAGGTCCAAGCCATGAACGTGTCTTACCTCCTAACTGGTCTTCTGGTCTCCACCTTCATATCTGTATTCTTTCTGAATACAGTGGCTATAGTGACTCTTTATCATATAGGCTGTATCCCTCTAACCTCTAGCCATCTTCCTTGCAGTAAAATCCTCTGCAGCAGTTTATAAGGCCTTGCACAAGCTGTTCTTCCCTCATTTTCTTCCATTCATTTCCTTTCTAGCCTCATCTTAAGTGTCTTTCACCTTGCCTCCTTAAATTGCAGCTACATTAGCTTGCATTCCAAGCACACTCTTTGCACTGGTTGTACTATTCAGGTAAAAGGGTCTTTGCACTGGTTGTACCATTCAGATAAAAGGCTTCCCCAAAACTATCCACATGGCTTGTTCTGTTAATCTCTGCTCAATTGCTGTCCTCTAAAGGAACCACCCTGACTCACCTTATTTAAGATTATATTGTCCTTACACTCTGTATCCTGGGTCTTTGCTGTAGTTTTCATTGTTTTGTTGTCACTATGTAATATATTTGGTAGCTGAATTGTTTAGTGTGTATTGGCTGAACTTCTCTTGGAATGTAGTTTCTGTGAAGTCATGTTTATGTTTCTTTTGCTCTCCTGGACCTGCCACCATGCTGCACACCCTTCAGACACTCTGTAAATACAAAAATCTACATGAGACTTAAACATTGAATGGGTAAGGCACATTAAGGAGCCTGCGCTGCTGTCATCCTTAAAGAAATCAAAGCACTTATGTGGGTCTCTGTGTCTGTATGTGTCTAAATTCAGTTAGCAATGGAACCATCAGCACCATGTTTTGAGACCATAGAGTTAACAAGGAAAAATACGTATTTTAAAGTTCCTTAACCTTTGATTCCTTTATCTAGAAGGGGAAATACTTTACAGGGATATGTCATAGCAGAAAGATTAAGATGAAAATAATATCTGTAACTAATAGTTGCAGTCTGCTGCTATTTCTGTTATCCAAATTGAGTCAACTACTGTTACCCAAATACCTGACTTTATGTTGTTTCAGGTAGTAATTTTATTAGTTGACTTGGAAATCTAACATACTGTGTCAGTTTTTTAATTTAGCTAAGATGCAACTTTTTAAAAAAATCCACATTATCATAATTATAAAAGAAATTTTTAGCCCACAGAATAAGACACCTAAAGTTTAAGAATAAAAATCATTTTTAAATGTAATAAACTTCACTTTATGAAACAATCTCTGATATGATCCATGTCACTCAGTTTGGCTGAGACTACTGGAGATTCCCTCAGCATGGCTCCAAGGTAGAGCACTGCCTGGTAGGCTAAAGCCATGCTCAGCAACAAGTCCAGTCGTGTTTCACCTCTTAAGAGCCCAGGTGCTAGAGAGTACCCATCTAGCCCAGATGCCAGAGAGGAAAACGTAGTCTTCTTCCTGTATTCATGGTTTCCTATCTTATGTTGCTTAATGAACCTTTTTAAGGAAAACTGGTTTTCCTAACAGACCTTTGTTTTTACCTCCTCCCCATGTGTTCATCAGTGGGGTTGTTTGTCAGGTTTAAACCAATCCTGCAGATCACTCATTACATATAATTTTAAAAGCTCAAATTTCCATGGCTTATATTTTACCCTTATCACTAATTTAAGAACAGGTTAGTGGTACATGAGGAACTCAGCTCCTTTCTTGCCATTCTGCCATCAAGCTCCTAAAGGACTTTCAACCCCCAGACATCATTAGCCATGTCCAGATAACAGGAAGGAGTATTACAGAAGGAGGAGGCTTCGTAGAAGTCCTACATTTAACTGAAAGAATTTTGTTAATACTAAAATTCAGAGATCTACTTCTGAAGAAGGAAACAGTGAATGTTGTGAGATAACAGCAGATATGTTTTATCACTTTTATTACCACAATATACTCAGTCACTGTATATGGGGAGTATGGGTACTGTGATGCTGAACAGCTTGCCAAGTTATCAGAATATACATATTTTAAAAACTATCTACATCACTCACAGAAAAATATTCCAATTCCTCATTCCCATGTCTCATCTGCTTGTCCGCTACATACCAAGCATCATTTGAGACAAGAGCATCCAGGTGAAAGCGAGTCAGAGAGACATCTTGCTGGTAACGACTCACATCCAATAGTGAGGCCAGCAGCACAGGGAAGTAATATTCCCACCCGCACTGCTGGGAAGGAAGCAGCAACACGTTTTGAAGCAGGAAGGGGTAGACCAAGGGAGGGTGACCTCTGACATCTGTGATGCCATCTAGGCAACTGTGCAAAGACAAGAACAGTGCTGGGAATCTGTAGCAGCTGTACCTCAACAAGTTGTTTGTATCATTGAAAGCTCTAAGAGATTCACCATCACTGAACTAAAAACACTGCAGCAGAGAAACAGTCTGTGTGGCCCTCAGGAGAGTAAAAAGCCTGAGAAGCTGGAGCACACTGAGTAAGCAGAGTATTCCTGATAGACAGTTAGATAAAGCCAAAAGTCAGACCATGGCATGGAGGCTGAACATTTTTCTCCATGCTTAGGATGCCACACCTGGCTTGGGGATGTCCGTATGCCAATTAGAGTCCCTCTCATTCACTGCTTTGCTTCTAAGTTGTCCAAGTGTATTCTTACTGTAGTAGGGACAGAGAGAGGTGAGAGAGACCATGGGCCTGGCTTGTTGCTCATGCAGGGGTACCCTTGCAAACTCAGCTCCAGGCCTGCTGCTCACTGCACAGTGGTCAGCCAAGCTGCTGTCTCGCTGACCATGCTAGTTCATGTCAGCCTTAGCAACTTGTTCTTCCCTCTGCACTGCCCTGTCTACATTGTGCACAAAGCAGACCTCCAGGGACTCTGGATCCTACAACAGATTTTTCCAGTTGAATGTGGGCACCAGCATCTCTGGACTGCAGAGAGAACAGTGTAACAGATTTACCTGACTGCTTTACCATGCTTCCTTCATTTAAATTTGACAGTTGAAGGCAGTATAAACTAAATGTTTTTAACTAAGTATTTTATTAAGGGTAAGATACAGGACTAATCAGAATTAAAAGAAGTAATGAATGAATGTTACCACCAATTGATTTAAAATTCTGTTGAGAGACTGTCCTTTTGGGAGTTTGTTATATTTTCTGCTCAGTTACATTTATATGACGCTGTTAACTCAAAGGGAATAAGGAAGGAGAGACATTCCATTTTGGAAATATGTGGTAAAAAGAAAAACAAAT